GACTTGAAGATGTCCGAACCGCTATGGTGTCCAAAGGCCATTAAAGCTTCCAACTTTTGAGTCCCAAGAATCAGTGTATTTTGGAAGCTGGGTTGAAGTGTTTTCACTTCGGACTTCCAACAAAGCTTTGGCCTCCTGGTGTTCTGTTCCTCACGAACAATTGCTTTACCTCATTGTGACTCATTGTTCGCAGCGTTCGTTCATACAAGATCCAGAGATCCAAGTGAAGTCATCGAACACACGAACTGCGACGCTTAGGCAGACCCGGTGGCGATTCAGGATGGGAATGTTTGCCGCAACCACGAAGGTTTCTCCTCCATGTCCGCTTCGAAGGCTGAGTTTCAACAGTTTCATGTGGATCCTACAAACAAAAAATTTTTTGGAGGTTCATGAAAAATAGAAAATATACCTAAAGATACCTAAAGTATGTTCAATCATATCATATATCATTTGTTACCTGTTCTTTTTGTTTTTCTTCCCCCCCCACCTTGAACCCTGGTTTCCTTCGCTTCTCGCGGAACCGGCGGATCTTAACCCACACACATCGCCTTCCGCTTCAGACGGCCAACAGTGCCGGTGTTGGCGTTGCACTCGCGCCGTTCCGCGTGAAGCAAAGCAGTGGGAAACGAAGGAGCGCTCCGGTCGCCGGAAACGAAGCATGAAACCTGGTGGACCGTATGGTGGAAAATACTAAATCATGGGTTGTTCTACTCTAGTAGGGACTCTACGCACGGTGGAGGCCATCGCAAGAAGACAAAAACAAGAAGCGGGCTAGTAGCGCTTTGCTACGTAAAGGCGCGATCGCCGAAAGAAGCCAAGTAGCGATGGCCTCCACCGTGCGTCGCTTCGGAGCTACATTGACGTCATAAATTGGTTCATTCAAAAGAACAGAAAGGAGCGCTCTGAGCGGCGCGTTTTTGCATTGTTTCATTTTGTTTGTATTTTGTTTCTATATTTGTATTGCGTTTCTATTGATTTTTGTGCCACTGAAAGAATACTATTCTGCCTCAACCCCCCCCCTCCCCCAAAGGCAATTTCCAAAATTCCAATTTTCCAAAATTCCAATTTTCAAAATTCCAATTTTCCAAAAAAACCAAAGAAACCAAAAAAAACAAAAAAAACAATTGTGCCAGGACTTTGCCTCACCCCCTCTTCCCCCCATGGTCTGTGCAGAATTGGTTTTTTTGGTTTTTTTGGAAAATTGGAATTTTGGAAAATTGGAATTTTGGATTTTTTGATTTCCTGGGATGTTTTAAATTTTCAATTTCCTTGGAAGTAGACAATACTACCACTTTCTCTCAATTCCAGAACAGTCTCTGAAACCCTCAGTGATTTGTTCATTAGGGTCTAATAATGCTCCTTCTGCTCCTTTAACTCGAAAATTGGTAATACCTGACATTTTAGAATTATAACCAGTAAAATTGACATCTGCAATTTTTTCAAATGACATACCAATAATGAATTTGTTCTTTCTGTATTGACGATACGAAAAACTTAAACTGTCATGTACTGTATAGCTCTTCTTAAATAGTAAAAGATTTATGATAATGATTGCGCTTCAAATTCTGTGTATTTCTCGGAATTGCTTAATTGAATTTGCCAACTTAAACTACGGGTGGCATCTTGAAAACCTTTGTACCTTGTAAGTCATTTGTATCAGCATTACCAGTATCATTAATTCTTCCATAGATCATAGGATTAATTCCATCTCTTATATACATAATTGTCAGGTAAGTATCGGTTCAGTTCTTCACCACTCCTTGGAGTTCTAAATAAGGTAATGAATGCTCCAGTCAGTTTAGAAGATGATTTTACAATATTCATATTAATTTCACCACCACCAGCATTGAATGTTTGGGTGATTGTGTGACAACAATTTGTAATGTTTCTTATCTTTGCCATTCCGCCCCCTTCTATGTCCTGCCATTCTAACACTCAATGCCTGACAAGTAGCACCAATATAGACATCGTCATTTTGTCATTTAGTATTCTGTAACATTTTGCCTTGGAGTAATCCACCATAACATTACATATTTTAACTAAGTTTAAATGTTGTTTTTTAAATGAGTGATTGGGGTTAAATCCATTGCTTATATTGGTGCCGGGATTGATGTTCCAAAGGCCGTTCCCTTCAAAATTGATATAGCTGTGGCTCATTAAAGGGTTAGGTTCTTTCAAATCAGAAGTTACAGCGTAACCATCCAACATTGAAACAATATCGGATGGATTGAGGTAGTCAAGTCTTTTGGGACTTTTGTTCCTTTCCTTTTTGTTTTTATTGTAGGGGTAGCATAGGTTGTTGTAGCAAATGTATTAGGTTGTTCTTGATTGATCTTATTACAGCACTTGCAAGGTTATGCCCAACCAAACGGGTTATTTCTGGTGACTTTTCCAATTCTTCTATAACATGTTTGTATTTCTCACTGTGATGAACAGTTCTAGTAGGTACTAATAACAGATCATCCATAATATCCCTTGTTAAAGATCCATCACAACCACCTGTGCCACTTATGTATAAAGTCTTACTTGTTTTGTAAAAAGCACTTGGTGATGAATAGGCATTCCATAAGCCCCTGCGGTCTTCTATCTTCTCCTTGTTTGCTATATTTTTCTCTTCAGCATATAGTGTTCTATGTTGTTTAAAGTGATCATTTAAGTTTCTTGTAAAGTCATTCATTCTATCATTCCAATTTTGGTTCTTTTTTTTCATAATCACTGTAGGTTTCTTGACCGATCTTACTGAATAACATCTGGGCGCTTCCAGGCAGATCCTTCCAGGCAATGTCAGACACATCAATCATTCTCAAGAAAACGCATGAAAAAGGTTGAAAAATGCTCATTTTCATCGAAAAACGCGCCGCTCACAGCGCTCCCCTCTCCAAAAGAAAGGGCCAGGACTCTCCCAATGGGAAGAGTTCGTGATTGTTCCGGAACTCCGATGCAGACAGGTAGATGGTCCTGCTGGAGTGCCCTCCACTTAGATACATGCCATCCACTTTGTATTTTCCCAGTCTCGAAGGCTTCCGGGGAGACCGGGCCAGATGCTTTCAACAACTGTGTTTTTGGGGGGTCTTCGTTTTTTCTTCCACCTGGTGCCAGGTAGGTAGGTGGAATCTGCGGAGACCGGTAGGTGGAATCTGCGGTACCCACAGAGTTGTATGGAAATCCCGAAACCCACATGGAATCTGTGGTCAGAAGGCCATTGACACCTGCACATCCAGCCGCACGTCAAGTCTTCCTCAAAATGTATCCCACGCATCAGTATTCCTTGAATGATGCAAGCGTTCAGTATCCTCATCTTGAATAATCATCCTCAAATCACCCCAGGTTCGGAGAACATGTCTTCTATTCATCCGAACGCGTTGCGGTCGCGTTGCTACAAAGAACCTCGCCTTTTTTCGGGCGCAGCAGGGGCATGGGCGATGAGAGGGACAAGGCAGTTCTTGTTTTCAGACTAGCTGGCCGACACTACCATACTACTAATTCATGATGTTCAGTGCATCTTTCATGTACTAGATCCAACAAAGGGCACATTTGTGTCTTGGCTACGAAATAGAATGCCCGGAGGGTGCGGTCAATGCCCTGGTCCTTCTTCGCCCCACCGGTGCCCTTTTCGTCGGTTCGGATGCTGTTCGCCCCGAGGTCTTGACCTCTCAGCGTTTGATCGACGAGATCGCCAACGGCCAAAACCAGGAGAAGTACCAGGCGAAGCGAAAAAGGGGCGGGGCGCTGCTTGCGAAAACGAACGGAACAGCGCCCTCGCTACGAAGGGCCCTAGTCGTTCGTGGCTGGGCCCATCGGACGCGAACGGAGCCATCGGACGCGAGTGGCCCTCGGGCCGCTCCGCTTGGGTCCACCCTGGGAGGTTCTTTTGGGCGAAAACCGGTCGGTGGGATGTCCAGACTCGGACGGCAAGCCACGGAGGACACCGGGCGGCTTTCGCTCGCGTTCGCTCGCGGCGTCGGCGCTGAAAAGCTCAAACAAACAGGTACCGAGCCTTGAAGGCCTTTGATACTCTGGGAATCTCTGGGATGATCAACTGGGAGCTCTGGGGCGTCGCTGAGTCTATAGTTCTTGAATGTGATTTGGGATCTTCTTGGTTTTTCCGCGCATGAACCATTTTCTTGGCAGGTTCCAATTGTTTGGCATGTTTGGGCCCTTGAAAACCTTGCAGATGCTGCGTCGAGTTTGCACCTCGCACGCCCTCGCGCGGGCTCATGGGACTGGAAAACCTTTCTTTACACTTGCCGCATGAACATGATCCCCACCATAGCGTAACTCTTCCGTCATCCCCATTGGATGGCCTGGGTACCCCCAACCCCTGACTCGGTTGACTGGTCTATCTTCCCGGGGTCAGTCTGCCAGGTCGTTCGCGGAGGGTCGGTCTGCCCAGAAGTGACCTACACAAGCACATTCACATGGAAAGGGTCTCGGATGTGACGTGCCCGCGCTCACCTTTGGTGGTGTGCTGCGGGGGGCAACCCCCCCCGCGCCACGAAATCTGCACTGCAACACCCGCGCCTGCCACGAAATCAATATTTTAAGGTGTGCCTGTGCGTAGTCGTAGTCGTAGTCGCGGTCGCAGTCGCAGTCGTCGTAGTAGTAGTAGTAGTAGTAGTGGTAGTAGTAGTAGTAGTCGTAGTCGTAGTGGTAGTGGTAGTGGTAGTGGTAGTGGTAGTGGTGGTAGTAATCATAGTTGTAGTAGTTTTAGTGTCGCAAATGAAATGAGTCTGTCCTGGTAGGTTGGTGTCGCGGCAGTTTTGGTGTCGCAAGTGAGCCCCTTGCCCATTCACATTCCAAAACGGACCTTGCTCTTCACGGAAGGCTTCTCCAGAAGATCACTATGATGATCAGTTGGATATCTCTTTCTCATCATGTCCTCTGAGATCGGAATCCATCCCCCTGCACCTGGGTGCACCCGCCTGGCCTCCGCCTCTTTTCGGACACGTCGCGCCTCGCGCCCGTAGCGCGAGGCCTTAGTGCGAAAAGCGGTCCCCGGCATGGTGTGGAAGCCCAGGGAGGGTCTTGTTCGGCCTGGTGAGCTGCGGTTTTTCGCCCTTTTTTTCCCCCGTTTCCGGGGTGAAGCCCCATAACCTTGTGAATAGTTGTTACAGTCATTGTTTTGGTTTTTACAAGCAACTCCAAGGTGTCGAGGACCTGCTCATAAAAAGTTCCTCATGACAGGAAAAGGGGATGACATGTCCAAGCTTTTTGCGGGGGATTCCCCATGTACATCCGGTGAGATTCACCGGGCGGCGTCCATATTTTCCAAACTGAGAGGGTCGGGTTTCAGGAGACAGGAACATGAACCGAGCGAGTCATTCCTTCGGGGAAAATCAAAGTCTTGGACTTCCGATCCGAATGCATATGGTTTACATTGATGGATGATGCCTTCTGACAATGAATGGAGTGTGTCTCCTCGGAATCCTTCGGCTTCTTGGACTTCCTATTCTGCAGATTTCATCAGATAAGAGGGAATTGGGGAGGGCGGTTTGAGGTTTCACAGAAAGCTCAAGGGTGCCGTCCCCGCAAAGAGCCGATCAGTCTCGGAAGATGTACATAATTAATACCTCCCCAAGGCCCGGATTCTTAGGGCTGATCATTTTGCAGAAGAACTCTCCTGAATCACGAACGCAACTTTCTTGGAACAATGTGCTGAGCTACTGTCATGCGAACCTAGTGGTAGCCCACCGTTATCGCCATCTTGCAGCGTTCAACGCAGTATCTATACAATGGAAGATTTGACCGCTGCAGATGCAAAAGCTGTGGCTGAGGCAATCTTGACCGGAGAATCATTGGATTCAGCTATGCTGGAGGTATAGGCGTCAAGAAAATATGTATCGACGAATCAAAAAAAAGTGTTTATCGAATAAAAGAATGATCGAATCAAACAAAATATACCAGTGTAGACCCCAAACAGTTTGTGCGTTTGTGAAGTAAGCCACAGAAACAAACTGTCAAAGAGTCAACGGCTCAAACCGTTCCAGTTAGCGGTGATCAACTAAGACCTTCTGGGCTTGTTTCAACACTTGGCTCAATTAACTCAAGGTCAAAACCGACAATTCAGACGAAAACAGAACATGCGCACATCTACCGAATATGCTAAGTTGTACTAACATGTGGGTTTATCATGCTTTATTTGGCTTACGGCTTACAGATGTTAAAAGCCTTCAACCCAAGGTGAAACAAGCAGGGAGACAAGTGAAGCAACAAAGGAGACAAGCAGGGAGAAAAGTAGAGACAAATGTAACGAGAAGGGAGACAAAAGCAGAAAGACCACCAGGGAGGCAAGTGAGAGACAAGTGTAAAATCATCCGGCCGAGAGTATCCAAGCATAGAGACAAGCAAAAAGACAAGTGGAGACAAGTGCATCCGGCTGAGAGCCTCTGGCAAAGAGTGTCTAAGTTGCATCCAGAGCAGCTAGAGGAAACATCAGCCGAGAAAGGCTCACACGGCCCAAAGACCCAGAGCGGACTGGAAGACAAGTCGGAGACAAGTGTAAAATCATGTGGCCAGAGCGCCGAAAGAGAAGTGGGAGACAAGTAGCACCCAGAGTGTACTGGAGACAAGGGAGACAAGTGGCAGACAAGTGTACTGGGAGACAACTGCAACATCATGTGGCCAAAGCAGTCGCAGTGTGGCAGGAACGCGAACCCGGAGACAAATGTAAAATCATGCGGCCCGGGCACGTAACCCTTTCAAAGGAGTAAGAACCCCTCACAGGTAAACTTGTTTTGGGAAAAAGTCGTGTGGCAAAATCCCTTTGAATTGCCAGGGGTGTAGCACTGGTCCTTTGGTCCGCTGGTCCTCTTGTCGCAAATTCCTGGTGCATGCCGCCTGCCCAGCCTTCTGGCATGGCACTTGCGGCCATCCTTAGTGAGTCACTGCGTGCGCAAGTGAGGTAACGTTTGCGTGGGCAAGTGAGCTTTTGGACCTGCTCCCTTGATACATAAACAGGCGTGCTCGACTGTCGACGTGGCGTGCGCAAGTGAGCTGACTTTTACATGCATTGTAGACTAGCAAACTCGACTTTTCGTGACAGGTGCAAGGGATCGGAGCTGTTTTACTTCGAAATGCAGATTTCGTGGCAGGCGCAGCACTTGGGACATGGTGGTGATCTTCACGGCGCTCTCATTTCGTGACAGGTGCAGTGAAGCGTGACTTTTGGATATGTGGCTTGTTTGCTGGCTTCGTGGCAGGCACAGCACTTTGTGACTCTCGAAGCGCAGAGTTCGTGGCAGGCGCGGCACTTTGTGAACCTCAAAGTGCAGACTAGCAGGCGCAGCACTTTCGAAGTGCAGAGCTCATGGCAGGCGCAGCACTTTGTGACTCTTGAAGTGCAGATTTCGTGGCAGACGCAGCACATGGTGAACCTCCAAGTGAAGATTTCGTGGCAAGTGCAGCACTTGGTGACTCTTGAAGTGCAGGTTTCGTGGCCGGCGCAGCACTTTGTGAACCTCGAAGTGCAGATTTCGTGACGCGCAGCACTTTGTGAACCTCGAAGTGCAGATTTCGTGGCCGGTGCAGCACGTTTTGAACCTCGATGTGCACATTTCGTGGCAGGCGCGGCACTTTGTGCTCTCTCACCCTCACACTCACTCTCACACTCACTCTCGCTCACAAGAAGTGGGTCTCCACTGTTGGATGGTGTCCAGCGATGATGGAACGCTCACAGTGTGGCGCGCTGGGCTCGTGCTGAAGCTAAGCCATGGTGGGTTGTCACTGGTGTTCGTCGCACGATTGCATCTTAACAGTTCCGAAGGGACAGTTCGGAAGTAGACATTGGAAGTGTGGGGCCCTGTGCTGTTTGGGGCCACTCATATCAGTCCCCACAGATGCAACAGACGCATTCAACGGTGCAACGCCTTTCATTGTTGCAGCCCACCACCGTAATTCTGAGTGCTGGGCTGCTTTCTTGAGGAGCCATCTCTGGATGGACGGGCATACCGAGTGTCCGTGGAGGCGATTGGCCAATACGCCTTCCCTACGCTTCCAATGGAACACTCTCGGTGTGGCGAGGTGGTGTGTGAGCTGATGTCCGCGCAGGCCTGCGAAAACCACGTGGGCATTGTGGCAAGCACCTACATAGGTCAGGGAGGTCCACAAGGTACCGCCCTGGAGAGAGTCCCAGGATTTTACCCATCAGCTTTCCGTTCTTAAAGCCTTCTCCAAGGATCCGAGTTTGGATGGGAGATGCTTCAGACGATTTCAGACGATTCCAGAAGCGTTGCAACAGGTAGATCTGATCTGCATGTGACCTCTGAGGACCCAAGCCAAGACGGCCGGATCTGGCACAAGTATATCGAGGCGTGCATGACCGAAGACGGTCGAATGTGACATCAGCTCATTGAGGCGCGCAGTGTCGAGCTGCGTCTCTTCTACATGCACATGAGATGTTGTTTCAGCATTCTCAAGGCTTGCAGACAATCTCAAAGCTTGTTCTTCCTCAACGGAGAAGACAGGTCCACTAGGTAAGATGGAATCAATGGCTTCCAGACAATCAAGCATGCTGGTGCAATGATCCAATGCCGTTTTCTTAAGCTCAGAAGCCTCCTCGGCTGGCGCAGTTGGGTCAGACACCTTCTCTTGAATGGTCTTCTCGACCTGTTGAAGAGCCACTGCTACTGCTAGCGCTACTCCTACTACTACTACTATTATTACTGTTATTATTACCTGCTACTACTACTACTACTACTACTACTGCTACTGCTACTGCTACTGCTACTACTACTACTGCTACTACGACGACTGCTACTACTACTCCTCCTACTCCTCCTCGTACTCCTACTTCACTCCTACACCTTCTCCTTTATACTCCTACTCCGAGTGCTGCTGCTGCGACTACTAGGTTTATTACTATAATTTGCTACTGCTACTACTACTACTACTACTACCACTACCGGCAGGTTCCTTGCAAGGAGAGAACATGATGTGCCTAACATTTTTTGTTGAAAATTGTCTTCGTGAATTATGCGCAGTCTTGTACCATCTTTTTACAAGTCAAATGTTTGATGTAACATACTATAACAGGCGACTACTCCGATGTAAACTTCAATATCGAGACAAGGTGTGGATCTCAAGAATCCGTGAATTCTTGATGCCTAAATTGCAAAGTACAATTCTTCCTGCAAAAATCTCAGGATCTCTGGTAGCACAGAGAAGGACGCGCAAAATTGCGCAAAATGACCACAGACTTGTTGATCCAAGGCCAGTAACATAAAAACACCACACACACACACACACACAGAACCCAACTACACCTGTCAGGTGACCCAGGGGCATACAGGAGCCGATCGACTCAGAAATCGTTCAAAAATGGAGCCCTTTGTCTCATGCCAGCGTGATCAGTGATCTGAGATCGACACGGTGGAGCCAGAAGAAGACGGCCGACGGTTCCGTCCGGTTGGAAAATTGGGCAGTGCAGAAGAGAATGAACCAGGTGAGTGCATCAGCTACCAACGAAACTAGAAAAAATCCAATAGGACTGGAATGTGTACTGTATTCCCTATGGACCCCTGAAAGAAAAACACACCCCAGAGAGCCTTTTCTCGGTCAATACAAGGGTAAATGTGGTCCCATGGAGTGTGGGCAGAGTGGTTGACTTGCCTTTTTGTTCCGATTGACCACGCACTCGGGGATCAGGTGCCGGACCATGTGGTGAGAGCAGCGGCCAATGCTCTGAAGAAGGCACGTGCATTTGGAAGAACAAACACAGAAAAGCACCCGTTTCAGACTGAAGAGGAGTGCAAAGAGGGGGTGAAACAAGCATCATGTGCCCTTCTGTTGAAGGGGTTTGGAACCTGGGCATCCCCAGGAACCAAAATGTGTCGCTCAGTCTTTCCCAGGGTTGGTCTACATGGTGTGCCGAACGTGGTCTCGTTGGTCCCATGGCCAGCCTCCTCCGAGCCTTGGAGCGAATCATTCACACAAAAACCCACGCTGGACACGTGGTTCACGAAGAAGGTTCTCCCGTCTGTGGCCCACTTCCAACATGGTTTTTTAAGGCACCACTCGCAGTTGGAACTGTTGCTTGACTGTGGTACACATCCGGGAAGGACGATCATCAGGGTCGCCAAAAGCACCAACCGTCATACACACGTTTGAGTCGAAAAGGAAAGCCTCGTCCCCTGCAGGATTGCCCGCGCGCCTCGACTTCGCCCCCCCCTAGACTAGCGCCAAAAACACCACGTGAAAACATGGTGCGAACCGGTTCGACCCGCGCTGGGGTTGACCCGTGACGATGCAGGTGGCCTTGGAGCCCAAGGACCATCCGGTGCATGCTTACGTGGCACCTTGGCACTGGTGAGCCCGGACGGGAAAGGTGGGCCATGCGGTGGAGACTTGTTCGGCCGAGAAGGGAGGGTGGTCATTAGAAGGGTCATTAGAAGTGGTGGGAGTGGTGGCAGTAAGTAGTAGCTGGTGGTGCTGGTGCTGGTCGTGATGGTATATAACTAGGAGGAGGAGGAGTGCAAGATCAGTCATGGGATTATGGCGGTAGTTCCACATAGTTCATTTTATGAGACAAAACTCATCTCCAAGGCTGCGGTTGGAGGCACTGATCTTGCACCAGACAAACTTCCTATTTTAAGTCTGTTAATGGCCTCCAACCCGATGGCCTCCAACCTACTAGCGATGGCCTCCAACCTACTAGCGATGGCCTCCCTCCAAATCAGCTTCCTTCAAAGGACAACGACAGTCTTCTTGCCTTGGCTTGGTGGCTTCAGGTTTCTTGCACCCACCGTCGTATGCACACAGTTGTATTCGAGTTTCTTCAACCTGTGGTTCGGCCTTCAGTTGCTCTAGGGTTTGCCATCGGCCGAGCCGTGCACGGCATGGATAGTTCTCGATTTGTAGAGTTTGGTGAACAAAGGGTCTCTACTAGGACCCACAAGGGGTGGTTAATGGACACCCCTTAACCTCTAAGGGGCTTTCAATAGACACCCCTTAGGGTGTCCTGGTACCTCTTCCATTGGACTTGTATATCTCACCCCTTGCCCACCGCTGACAGAAATGCCAAGGACAAAGAGCTTCGTTTGCAAGACACGCCCAGCCGGCATGTGCTTTCGCTCCCGGCTCCGCTCCGCCGCAAGGAGCGGAGATGCACACGTCGTACGTCATGTTTCGGACTGCAAACAAGGAACTTCCTTCTGCCATTAGATCTAGATATGTATGCTGGAAGTTTGTGGAAGGCACCAAGAACACCACCAACAACCTGTGACATGTCGCCCAACTCCAGTTTGATCTATCTCAATCTTCCAAGTTTCTTTTACGGGACCTGCAGTCAGAAGGGGCTCCAACCTACATACTCAAAAGGGAGGCAGACTCAGCTGTCACCCTACCGAAGTACATTCTCAGGAGGCAGTTACGAGAATGTTGGGCACCTTCTCCACATGTTTGGCCCCTTTTTTCAGACAGCTCACGGTCTGTAAAGGCACCCCAAACAAAGGCACCCCAAACGAAGTGATGCACATCTGCATGGACAAAACGGCAAGCATGTGGGACACCGTCTTGCAATGGGATCCTCTCCGCGGTCATGGTTCCCAGAATTGGTGTAAGGGAACATCCTGGAAAAACTATAGGATGTTGATAGTTTTGGAAGTGAAAAACATGGATTCCTGTAGATGGTCCCTTCAACCCTTCGTTCGAAATGGTTTTTGAGGCCACACCTTGGGCACTACACTGGGCCGTCGAAATGATACCTCTCCGCTTTTGCCTTTTTCTGGGCGATACCACTGTGTTCCAGCCTGCTCATGGAGGTGGACGGCATGGTCCCGGAAAGAATGACCATGAAATCCGAATACCAAGCAGGTGGTGAACTCGGTCACTCCGCTGAGACGGAGTTTGAAGAGCTGGCGCTCGCTGTCAGCAGAGACTCTGATGGCGGTCTGCTGGCGTCAAACAGCGGCTCTGTGGCTCTTCGATCGTAAAAAGGCGTCCCATTAGTATACACGTACCCATTCAGTCTTTGCGGCTATAAGCAACTTTTAACCTTTTGGAAGATTGGGATCCCATGGTTTCCCAAACATGGTCAACGCCGGTGCACAAGGAGACCATCCTTTCTTGGAACCAAGGAAACTGAAGGGGTCGAGCCAGGGGTTCGGCCCTTTGGCAGACCAAAGAAAGTCGGCGTTCTTGCTCCGTTCGTAGCGAGGCCCTTTGCTCCGTTCGTAACGATGCCCTTTCTGGTGAGCCAATGATATCGACCATCTGTGATGTGTGCTCGTGCTTGCTCGGCAAGCAACCTCTCGCCAGGTTATTCCAGAGGCTTTGCAAGCTCACGGCGCCCGAGTTCGAGAACTTGTTGCATCCGGTCTTTCAAGAGGCGAAACCAGATGACAAACAGTACTCAAAAATGCACAGGATGTCATGGTTGTGAAGCAGGGAGCAGGTTCTGGAAGTGGCACTTGCTACACAGAATAGACATGCTCCGCGAACTGATTACTACGTTCTCGTCGGAAAATTCTCGATCAGTCAAGAGGTTGCGAAAAAAGGGGCAAATCCTGGACCTGACCCGAATATTCCATACATTTCCATACCAATCATGACCAATCCACGTCAACTCCAGTTCCGCCTGATTCGGTGTCAACGGACAGTCCGGTATCCCTGAAGGTTGCAGAAGATTCACTTTTAACCCTACCCGGAACCCCAACATGACCCCTGTTTTGATAGGACGTTTGAGCATATGTTGGGTGGTGGGTCCGGTCACTCAGCTTCGATCGAAAGAAGTACTGCCGTTTCCCACCGTCGCCTCTCCTCGTCTCGGTCGGTCTCGCCGTGACTCGTCCGGACCGCCTTCGGTGCGGCGCCTGACGCACCTGACGCACCTGGTGGGTCACCGGTGGGTCAGCTGCCACGTGTGGCGTGGGCGCCTTCGGCGCCGGTGTCAATGTCCTTGTGAAGGACGCCAAATCGATCGAAAAAGACACCACCTGTCTTGCAGATGTACGGATTTGTACTTTCCAAATCCGTGGGTCCTGTCCTGTTCGGCTCATTTTGGTTTGCAACCCCTTCCAGTCACGCCCCAGGATGAGCTCACTCTGATCGTGGCCGGCGGCGTCTTGGGCGCCTTCGCCGGCTTTCTGCAGATGAGCCTCGGGTGGCCGTGGGTTCCGGTGGCCGCAGGAGACGTAACTGGGGAGGTCGGGACCTAACTGCATCCGACCGCGAACGGTTCGTTGTACCAACAGAGTTTAAGTGACCGTAAATAGCACACTACAGGGGTACCTCTGGGATAGCCTATAGGCCTATAGGGTCTTTCAACAAAGGCCAGGAGCCCCGTTCGTAGCAGTCTTGCTCCGTTCGTAGCGATGCCTGGAGCCCCGAACGTAGCGTCCGATCGCTCCTAGTCAGGACCAAAGCCCAAGAGCCGGTTTCACGGCCAAACGCGATGCTTGTGGAGGGTGTGTTGGAACTGTCACGGACTTCCTTGACATGGTTTCACCCCCACCTGCGGGGTGCGTTGCTCAGCCGCGGTGGCTCTCGCCGCGTTCGGAACGTCTTAGACGGAGATTTTGGGGGAGGTGGCAAAGTGCACTTCTCTCACATCAAGCTCATGTTGAAGAAGCCAAGGATCATAGAATTGGCATCCAACTGTGTAGCTTGCAATTCAGCTGTGGTTCAAGCTTGGGTAGCAAATCGCCATCAACCCAGGCAGCCACAGGACTCGTCACCGCAACCATTTGACAAGTCCTTTGTCCAAAGCCCCGGTCAAACCCGGTCCTGAAAACATCAGTGTATCGTCAAGTCCAGTATTTCATGAGCTCAAACTGACCTGGCTATATGGGAAACTGTCCAGGCATATAGGTCTGTACCAAAAACCCACACCCGATCCACACCCGGCTTTCCGGCCACACCCTGTATAGTCGCTCCTTCGCCAGGTGGGGCGGCCCTTCGGCGGAGGGCGCCGTCGCCAAGGCATTACGCCTGTCGGCGGGCGCAGGCGGGGGGTGGAGTGGAGACGGGGTCTGGTGGGATGGGCGATGCACTTGTTTCTACTAGCTTCTTGTTCCTAGTAGCTTATTTGTTACTACTAGCGTGGCACTTGTTACTAATAGCTTCTTGTTACTACTAGTAAGGCACTTGTTACTAGTAGCGATGCACTTGTTCCTAGTAGCTTATTTGATCAATCCTACGTCGGTTTCGGGATCATTGATCATCCTACCTTCCAGGTAGGGAACACCAGTCTGTTTGCTGCCCATCGTTTGCCACATGGCACATAGTTTGCACATCGGCAAATCCATGGTGGACAGCGTTTTTACACCCTTGATCAAAGACATGCCTATCATTGATCAATGCTGGAGTCCCACCTTCCAATCGTTGGCCATGAACTGACTTTGCAGGTGTTTGTTCCATCTTGACGCACTTGGGTGTGTTCTTTATGGACAGCGGATCGGCTCTCTCGCGGCGCTGGGACGGACTGGTCCTTCGACCGGTCCGGGCCTTTCGGAACCGAAGCCGACACGTCGGGAGGCGACGCCGACGCCTGGGAGTGGCCCCAGTTTTCATACACACCCCTGCTGGGTTTCCAAGTTTCAACATAGCCGCGAAAAGGTGTGGTTCACCCTTTAAATGAAACTCTCTGATCGGTCTTGATGGTGTCGTGTCTTTGTCGTCTTGTTGCAATGAAAGAACCGGTGATGATTTGATGCAGACCTTTCCATCCCACACTTTTGAGGGGTTCTATGTGGGGATGGGATGGGATGGGATGGGATATGACCCAAAACACCCTCCCAAGCTAGAATCTAGCAGCTAGAACACCCAGTCGAAGATAGTGTTCCTAATTGCAACCCAGTCGAAAAAAGGGAGTTAAAGGTTTCCGGTGGTAATAGCAGCCTTGGGAGAAGACTCTCCACATCACCAGATCGTTTCGTTTCTGCTTCAGAAGAGAAGGCTAACACAACTTCAACTTCACGGAATGTCCACCTGGTGAGACCACGCCGGTCTCCTGGCCGCCTCCCAGACCGGACGCCAGGCGCCGGGGCGGCGGCCACAAAGATGGCCCTGCTGCCCCCGCAGCTGCTCGCACGCCTGGCGAGGTGGCGTGGTGCGGTGGTGAGGGGGGGGCAGACAGTGCCGAAAAGGAAAAAAGGAAAACGGTTGGTTGAAACGATTGAGAGGGTCTTGGACATTATGATCGGTATATTAAAGACGTTGGGTGGAAGGGCAGGTACGCCATGGTACGCCGCAAAAAAGAACAGATCCCCTGGCGTGGGTCCAGGTGGTGCAGGAGTTGTTCCACCAATAGTATATTTTTTTGACCCAGGATCCTTTCAATGACCTGCCTTTTCAGATGGAGGCGCTGCAAGAACACAGCACCTGCGAAAACGCAAGCCTCAAACCCTCTAGAGCAGGGACGTTTCGGTTTACTGTAAGCTTCGTCCAGCTCAATCCAGCTCAGTCTCGTGCCTGCTTCGGCTGCAATTTCTGCTCAGGGCAAACCTCCTTGCAGGGAGTGAGGCAGAAATAGATAGAAGATGATAGAAGACATTTTTAGATAGGCACTTTCAGCAGGTTTGTGTGTCAGTTTGTGTGTCAACAGAGCAGTGCTGGGGCGGACATCCCGACAGAGCTATGCCGAAGAGAAAGGCTTGTCCGTCCCTGGATGCAGATCCTTGCGGGATTGGACTGCTCTATCTCACCGCGGATGAGGTGAACATGATCCGCGAGAAGTTGGACCAGATGAAGCGTGCGCGGATTTCTGGGTGGGAATGGGTGTTGGAGGCAACGGATACACAAAGGTGCGCCAGCACAAAGAGGGGATTGGACACGAAGGAGACACCCGCCAAAGAGGTGAAGGCAAGGAAGGTGGCAAGAGAAGCCACAAAAGCGCCCGAGAAGGCTGCAGCAGCCAAGGGCAAGACGCCGAAGGCGGCTCGCAAAACCCGAGCCGCCAAGGCGAAAGCGAAGACGACGGAGAAGAAAACAGCCAAAACAAAGGAGAGGCAGGCGAGAAAAGCCGCTATAGCGGCAAAGAAGGCAGAGGCCAAGCTGGTTAAGGCCAAGGAAGCACGGGAGGCCAAGTTGGCCAAGGCACAAGCGGCAGAAAGGACAGCAGCGAAAGCCTCTGCAAAGGCAAAGTCCAAAACGCCGCGCCGCCCGGCCGCGAAGGGCAAGCCTAAGGCAACGGCCGCTAGGCGCAACAGAGCCCAACCACAAGCTCAGGCGATTGAGGTGGACGACACTGAGGACCGGGGGGAGGGGGTCACGTGGCCAGCCTAAATAGTCCATATTAGTCCCAAATCAACTGAGTGACTGGTATACCTTTTTTGAATTGCTGAAACAACCAAGTTCTCCGGCAATTTTGATCGAATTGGGAAGCTCGCGTCACACACCTGTCGATGTCCATGTCGAGAAGGAAACCCCAGGTCGAGACTCATCTTCGTTCGGATTTCTTCCATGTTCCGATGGCGCGCCAGGTGATGGCCTGCCCTTTGGATCAACAAGGTCGAGACTACATGCTGGACTTGATAGTACAAATCTCCGAGGACCATGTGGGGCCCCTCAGTCCGAGGGTGCACAACACCTTCCGCACAGGAGGTCGTCTTGGTTCGATTTGCTAGGCCTATTTGGGGGGCATGGTGGCATGTTCGAAGACCGAAGACCATCCCAGCAAGATCTGTTTGGCGGGTGCCTGTGACGTTTGAAGTTTTTTCAGGATCGCCGATTCGCCGTCATTCGTGCGTTCTGTTTGTGGCCGTCTTGTCTTCCCCAGCTCCAAAGTTCAGGGAGCAGACTACACCTTGCCAGTTGTAGGAAGAACGGAGACCTATGAGACTTGATTCCTTTCGCCGAGCTATTGATCACCGGATTGACCTTTAAACACTCTTTGTGAAAGCAAAGGCTGCACCAGCTTCGGTGGGGCTCCTGGGGGATCCTTGACCGTGGATTTGAAGGTGTGCAATTAGTAATGACCAACAATTTCCCTGTGCGTCAAAACGTCAAAACCGCTTTCCCCTCCATGTCACCGATGGATAGGTTTACAACAATGACCAAGAGGATTCTCATTAATGAGGGCTGTCTATCAACTAGGGCTGTCTGGGTGTGACACACAGCCAAATTGATGGGAAGTTGGCCTCTAAGTCTTTGGGTGAACTCGCTTTTGGACGAAATCAAGGTGGTTCTATGTGGTTCTGCTTACGAAACGGTTCAGAAGTGTGAGACGGGTGTCAACCGGGTGCTCACCTCGACTCGGTGACGTCGAGCCACTCGCTCGTGGCCGCTCAGAAGAGACGACTGTTTGAGTCTTACCGGGAGATTGCAGCTTGGTCGGAAGGGTCACGGGGCTTGGTCGGAAGGTTTGCAAGCAGGTTCCATTCCCAGACACGACTCTGTGTGGGACTGCCGGACTGCCGAGAAACAGCCAGGGGTGGTGGAATGGTGGTCAATGGGGCGGCAGTCCTATGGCATGGAGTGTATGGGATTGTAGGTGGCCATTTCCCATGACAAGTTCCACACAATCGAAGAGAACCTTCAGGAGAACTGGGGGCTGTCCCAGGGGCCATCCGCGCAGTCGACTCTCGCTGGGGCATAGAGATTTGAGATGATGTGATTGTTGGAGGAATGAGCCGCAGTTTTGGGTTGGACTCGTTGTGCCGCAGGCCAATCATGGAGGTAGCTTGAACGGTGGGTGGAGGGAATTCCTGCTCTTCTCAGACCGTGCTTTGGGGAGATCCAAACGGAGCCGGGCTTGTCTTGCATTGCAGGTCTCATCAACACTGAGTGCCTAGCTAAGCATATATGCTGCTCTTTTTCTTCAAACAAGACCTGTGCCATGCTACGATGTCCGAAACCATTCCGCTCAACCTCGTCCTCAGTGGTACCAGCCCCAAGAGGCATAACTGGAGGAGATGCTCCAATCCCCTCCTTTCTTCACCACCGCCCAGCTGTGCACTGTCTCTTGAGGTGCATGATGTCCATTGCAACGAGGTCACTCTAGATTTCGACCACATGACCTGGAAACGACGCCGCAAGCTCCAGTACACCTTGGAATTTTGGGCGGCGCAAGACGCACGTGCAGAACCCGCAGGCCGTGAACGCCAGGGGGTGAGTGGTTTGTGTTGGCTGTTCTTCTTGTGGGGGGCGCACCTAAGGTTGGTGTGGGAAGGGCCTGACGGCACGCTGCATGTCTGATCTAGTTGAAGGTTTTGCACACAATGTGGTGAAGTGCTCACAAGCCTGTCAGGAACAGCCACAAGATCAGCTAGCGGCAAGCTCTCCAAGCACCTCTACCGAGTGCTCCAAGCACCTCTGAGCAGGACCAGCTGTACAGAAACGAAGAAGAACTAAAAGAGTTCCTCGATGAATGCGACAAATGGATCCGAGACTGGTGAAGTTTCAAGTCTTGGCTCCAAATAGGGAGGCCCCATTACTGTTACAAAAAGGTCGGCCAAACAAACCAAGGATTCACATCAAGGACTTGGATGGACAAGTCAACCATAGAAAAGCCATGGGCTTTCAAAGCTATGTTTGCTTTCTTTTTGGATCAATGTGGGGACTCCATTCAAAATGGACTGCTGATCAGCATGTCCGGGCGTTTCCATTCAAAATGGACTGGTGATCAGCATGTCCGGGCCTTTCACCAAAAGGGAGCTACAGTGCTGACGCTCCTCCTGTCGCAAGGAAAAAGCAGAATTGTACTGGCAGAGATTATTAACTGGCAGGCAGATAAAGATTTCCTGCCTTTTTGCCCAGATGGCTTGATCTGTGAAATGACTACAGCTCAAAAGACACATAATTAAGGTGTTTCTTTCCATTTGTTAATCCTCGTTTCGTTCCGGCAAGTATATTTCTTGTGTAATAGTAATAACTATTACACACGTGCAGTTGTTTGCTTTGGGTGGAAGGGCAGGTACGCCGCAAAAAAGAACAGATCCCCTGGCGTGGGTCCAGGTGGTGCAGGAGTTGTTCCACCAAGAGTAGATATTTTGACCCAGGATCCTTTCAATGACCTGCCTTTTCAGATGGAGGCGGCTGCACGTCTGGCGCACGTCCGGCCCGCGCCCCGGTCCGGCAGGTCTCTCCGGAGCGGATGGCAGAGAGTCCGTCGACGAGGCGACCGGAGGGCACATGGGGGATTCACTGCGGACACGTTCGAGTTCCCGTCGCTGGGACTTGGGGGGGTGAAAGAGTGAGGGAAGAGGTGACACGTTCTGGTCGACCACCTGGAAGAACACCCCCGACCCACCATCCGAACTGTTCAGTGATCGAACTGAAGGCATCGAGTTACGATGCGCCGCACGGATCGTCCTTCCGCCGGCGGTGGCCAGTGGGTGAGAACAGCTGTGCGGAAGGAAAACCCCAACCATCCCCTAACCAAAAGAAATTCCAGAACAGTAGGTCCTTCCCCCCCCCCCCCGCTTGGCAGCAATGGGCGCCGTGCTCCATGCTCCCGTGCTCCCGTGCTCAGTGGTCAATCGGGTGGGTTGGAACGGGCGCGCCCGTCGCGCCCCTTCGGGTTGCGGCGGACCGTGGACGACCGACCGACGTGTCGGGGGGGGTGGGAGATCTTCCATGGTTTTGGGACTCCACGAAAAGCAGAGTCGGCCAAGAAGCCGACTTGGACTCCGAGGATGTACTGTGAAGGTGTTTTGGGGTGGCAGAACAAAAGGGGTGCAAATTCAGGAAGTCTCATGGGTGGGGAAGTTCAGTGCTTTCGATTCACCCAGCGTTTTTTTCGATTTTTTTGGGTGACGTGTGTGAACACCTCCCTCCGTAAACGGATGCTTTGTACGAATTCTGACGGATTGCAGCCATCTCACAGCACAACTGTCAATCTCAAGGTTCCTGGACCGTTCTCAGACTGGAATGCAGGAAGCTCCTTGATTTCAATCCCAATGCCAATCACCCCCCCCGAACCTCTTCGCATCGACATGCCAGCGCTCCGCTCACCCGAAACGAGCACCAGGAAAAGAGACCGGTCTGCTGGTACACCCAGTCTTGGCCTTCAAAAGACCAGGAAAAGGAAGGTCTGGGTGTTCTGAAGGACTTTTTCCTGCAGATGTCGTCTAAAATCCTAAGTTAAAACAAAAACACATGGTACTGTACTTGGTCAACAGGCCATATATAGAAAAAGAAAGGGATCGACCATATGAGGGGAATAAAAGGGCCACCAAGTCGACGATCTCTTCACCCCGCGTCCCGGGTCGGCGACCCCCATGGCGGACGGCGAGAAGCGGCGCCACGCCGTGCACCACGCAGCTCGGAACGGAGCGAACAGCTCAGGGGGCGGGGGAGCGGAGGGGGGGGCGATGGCACGGCCCGGGTGGGACTCGGTTTGGACGAGGCCTGACAGTCAGCCATGTCCAAACCAGGGTGTGTCACTCCCAGGCGTCGGCGTCGCCTCCCGACGTGTCGGCTTCGGTTCCGGAAGGCCCGGACCGGTCGAAGGAGTCCGTCCCAGCGCCGCGAGAGAGCCGATCCGGTCATAAAGAACACACCCAAGTGCGTCAAGATGGAACAAACACCTGCAAAGTCAGTTCATGGCCAACGATTGGAAGGTGGGACTCCAGCATTGATCAATGATAGGCATTTCTTTGATCAAGGGTGTAAAAACGCTGTCCACCATGGATTTGCCGATGTGCAAACTATGTGCCATGTGGCAAACGATGGGCAGCAAACAGACTGGTGTTCCCTACCTGGAAGGTCAAATCGGCTTCCCCGCTTTGTCCTGGGCGTGCGTCACGGCTCCACTGGTCATGAGGCGATGTAGTGTGACTTTGGGCCATGTGATGAGTCAACAAGAGTGATGAGTGGTACAATGTAAGTGTTGTTTTTCCATGTTTTTGTCCAGTACAACACAAGTTGAATGGTCACGTCAACAACTCAACACCCAAACAACCCACCTCCGTCCGTTCAGACGGCACGGATGATTCGCCATGGGCCATCGGTCACCGTCTCGTTCGCCATGGGCCATCGGATGATTCGACCCGTCGAAATCCGGATGGATGGTCACAAGTATGTCCAATCGATATGGCTATGGGTCAATGGCTAGGGGTGCCCCCCCCAACCATTGGTTTATATTGAGAATCCCTACTGAAATGGTGGTGATTGGGGGTACCTTATTTTGACCCATGCCCATATATATATATATATATTGAACCTGATTGACCCCTCTTTTAAAAGCCAGAACATGTTTCTTTTTCCTATCAAATGTATGTTATGCTATGCAATGCTATGCTATGCTATGCTATGTTGTGATATGTGATATGCTATGCATGCATGTATATTATGTTACGCTACGCAATGCTATGTTATGCATGCATGTATGTATGTTATGTTATGCTATGCTATGCTATGGTATGTTATCCTATGCAATGCTATGCTATGTTATGTATGGTATGGTATGGTTTGGTATGGTATGGTAAGGTATGGTATGGTATGGTATGTAAGTATGTTATGTGTGTAATGTATGCAATGTAATGTAGTGTAATATAGTATAATATAATATAATGTATGTAATGTAATTATGTGTGTATGTAATGTAATGTAATGTAATGTAATGTAATGTAATGTAATGTAAGTACGTATGTATGTATGTACGTATGTATGTATGTATGTATGTATCAATGGAATGGAATGGAATGGAATGGAATGGAATCGTATGTATGTATCTATCTATCTATCTATCTATGTATCTATGTATCTATGTGTATATATATGTGTGTGTGTTATTCTGTTCTTGTATTTGATCACTCATAAGGCCCCAGTGAGCCACTTACAGAGTCCCAAGAAGCCCCTTTCTTGCGGCACGGCCCGGCTTACTGAATGGGGGCTAGTAGGGGTCTCTTATCCACACACTCCTCGTATGACCCTATTTACCTTCTACCATTAGAGTGTTGGAACAGGGGTCAATGTGGGCATAGTGGGAGCTCTAACTCCTGCAATTTCCCATTCGGGTAAACGCCCTTTTATAGCGACCCAGCTGCCGAAAGGCTGCGGGTTAATTCATTCAAGTTTTCACGTTTGAAAAATTGATGTGAATGAAATATCGATGGAAAAACCAGTTGAGAAATGCGTTGTGATTGTAGCATTGAATTTGAAAGATTAAACGATGTTTAAGTCATTATTCGTTCAATTGAGAAATAATTTCGAATGAGGAAATGTGGACAAAGCATCAATTCATGTGAACTTTTTGGGTTCAAGAAAGAGACGGGGAGAAGTGACTCAATACGAGTTACTCCTTAGATGCCATGGAAGCGAAAGCAAAAGGATGTTCTGATTTGCCAGCTGTCAGTGAACAAAAGGTGGAAAATGCAACAAATTTGGCGCCGTATATGGCTGGAAGAAACCTTATGAAAGAGATTGCATTGAGAGCGCCTGACAGTGAAGTTGTCGTGAAATTTAGCGGATGTTCATTGAAAATCGGTCACAATGTCAACTTGAAAGTGAAAACGAGTGGCAGTGCAAATTTGACGAAGAGGAAGGTGCTCACGTTCTTTCCACTTGGCCGTGAGATGTTGCGAGGCTCGGAAATGCCGTATGTACAATGGTGCCATGCAGCGCCACCCGCCAATTACAATCATTATGATTTGCTTGGCAACACACAATTGACTTGTCTGAATTTGTTTGAAAGGATGAAAAGATTTTGCAGTGAAGGCAAAGATGTGATGTTTTTGGGTCAAGCGAACGCTCCTCGATCATTAGCCAAGTCAGAGATTGATTCAAATGTTGGCTCACTTCGAGCATCAGTTAGTCCACTCAGTGATTCGTATGTTACTGAACGGAGCAATTGGTACAGATTGCTGTTGGATTTGAGCTTTTTACTAAAGAAAGATGGTGGCCCATGGTGTGAGTCAGGCAATGCGGTTCTTAGCTTTGCGTCCAGCTTCTTTGTTTGATGATCATGTTTGGCCACCAAACTTTGGCAAAGATGATCGTTCCGAAACTAAACCTGACATACAAGTTCACAGCATTAAAGCTTGTCCTATGTCGGAATCAGTCGGGATTGCAATCAACAGATGCTTTAGTTTGGAAATGAACAAGTCCTTCTTGTGCTCATTGTCATGGGAGGTTCATCCCCATACAGTTTCAATGATTTGGATAGGTTTTATGTGCCTGAACCCATTGCAACATATCATTTGCCTCCATGTGTGTGGAGCACTTTGAATGAATTTGGTTCAATCAAAGGTATGAGCACGGCATTACAAAGCACAATCAAAGCAATAGATTTGTGGCAGATAAGCGCGCTTGCTTCGTTGGAATTGCAAGATCTCAAGTTGACGGAGAACGCATTGCTTTAGTGCCAAGAGCCGCAGTTGGAATCGGACCAGGATTGTTGTATTCAATCGACAATGGGATACCTGGAGTCAGAGACAAAGATGCTTTGAGAGCACATCTCATAGAAGTGAGGCCAAAGAAGACTGAAGGATCCAACACTATAAGCAGTCTTGGGCCTGGAATAGTATCACAAATGTTCACAGCGTATCATGGCACTGATTATGCCACAGGTGTCGGAAGGCCTGGAGGTGCAGGTGCGAGTTGGGGAGACGTATTGATGAGAAGATATTTCTTCGATGGGCGAAGCTTCTCCACCAAGAGATGTGATATACAGTTTCGGTTTCTCAACCGTGGAAGGAGCAGAAGCTATGCGCGGCAGAGATTCTGTAGATCCTTTGTTTAGCTTGTCAGTGGTGGAGCTTGAAACGGCGAGTTCAAGTCTTCTTTTGGCTGCGCCGCATGAGAGACCAATCGTGAGACGAGTTGCTGCAAGAGCAACAAATGTGGAACAAGATGTAGAAGAAGCTGCTCGCAAGCGTCTGAGAGAAGCGGGAAACTACATTGCTGAACTGAAAGGAGGGATGGCTAGCGTCTAAGAGTATTTTGAGTGACATGAGCGATTCACGCGACCGATCAATATCTTGTGGGAGAAGCTACACTCCTAATGACACATCAAGTGTCGAAAGCCAATTAGCAGCTGAAAGAATTGGTGAAGAGGCGGATCAAGCTTGTGAAGAAGAAAGGACTCGGCTTGATAGAAGGATGATTGGCGATGGTGTCGCAAGCGGAAGCAGCCCCACAAGACAATCGATTATAGATCAATTGGCCAATGTGGA